AATAGTCATTTTTTTTGTACGATAATTACTTTGCACATATGACTAGTTTAACTTTATTGTGCAACTAAACAGTTAATTGTGTGATAATTACTTTGCACTTGTAACTGGCCTTTGCATGTGTGGCCAGTCTAAATTTATTGCATGATTAACTAGTTAATTGTCTAATATATTTAATGAGTAACAGGGGCCTCAAATATGTGTCTTATTGATACAATATGGGCACATCTACATGTGCTATTAACATGAAGCAATAAAACTCCAGTACATATCACGCTTGAGGTTTATGCTTCTGGGTGCTACTTTTGAATGTGCGCATGGGACTGCAGTACATTTAACCAAGTCTGAACAGCCCCAAGTGGCAGAGGGGTCCAGGGTGTCAGCCTGCCAGCCTAAGGCTGCTTTGATCTGGCTCAGTGTGCTGCAGAGGGGTTGGTTGGGGCATGAGGGTGTTCCAGTGTGGTGCTAGCCAGCAAGTAGCACTGACGCACTCATGTGCCCCACCCGGCCCCATCAGCATCTACATGTGCATTGTTGTGCGTAACAAACTCCTCCTTAGGACAGTACTTGTGTTTACAAGTACTAACCTGTGGCAGAGTTAATTACTTTCCATATGTAGCTTTCTTTTATTATGGTCTAAAGTGCTAAAAGTGGTAACTGAAAGTAGTGTTTATATAGTTTATTATAAATCTAACAAAGACTTTTAACATACGGAATGTAGCTGGAATGTGGATTATGTCTGTTCTTTCTTTTGAAAGGGAAGCAGAAGAATAACCAGAAGATTCCATGCTTAGTTTGTGGAAACACCTTCCAGTTTGAGAAAACTTGTAAACACTGCAGCTCCTTCTGTGCCACTGTATTGCAAGGAAGTTCATATTTACCTATGAATGCCAGCTGTACCCCTGAAACGACGGTGACAGCCCACAAGATAACTCTTCATAGTCATGTCTTCCATACATACTTTTGAGGCCATTCAGAGTGCCTCACTCTTTGACAAGGGTTTTTGAAACAAAAATAGAACTGCAAGCCTTGCATAAGAAGATGTTGTAGAAAGATCATTTATCAGCACTTACTCAAATATAATATGTAAAAGCCTGTTTTAGTAAGAAGTATCTGTAGCATTCTGTGCTGCAGATTTCAGAGATTTTTTGTAAAGCATGGCTTAAGTCCCCAAGCTATCGCACAGAAGCTGGTATCTTACTTGCGCAATAGATCTGTAGGCCAACATTGTGGATCCACATTAGTGCCAAACATTCAAATGCAGTAAGAATGTTCTTATACACCCTCAACTGCAACCCCCAATGATGGCCATGCTGTAAAAACTTTCTTATGTGTCAATGAATTGGAGTGGAAGGGCTTATGTACCTATCCATGAGCACATAATGTACTTAAAACAAAACGGCAACATACGGGGACTAAAAACACCTAGAGGTTCCTGAAAACACCTAGAGGAGGTTCCTGGCTAGAGGGTCTGGCTCCACTGCTCAGGATCAGAACAATTGCTACTTTTGCCTTCCTCTGTAGAGGCATGGTCCTCTTTCTTGGATCTCTTGAGGGTATTTTGACAATTACTTCCTGGCTTTGCAGCATCAGGACATTAGAAGTGCCATCATCCCTCTGCTTTACCAGGGGCAAATTCCATTTTTTTCATGTCTTTTTCATTTCCCTCTATTTCATTAATGGTGGATGCTTAATGGCAGATGATGCCATAGTTGGAATCTCCCAGCATTGGGCCCATGATCACGGAGCTGTGGGACTCAGGTCTCCTAACTCTGGTCCTGTGATCAGGGAGTATGGGCTGGGAGTTCCCTGCTGCCGGGGCAGGGGGACATTGTCCTTGCCTGTGCTCTGGTGGCAGAGCCTGCCCTGGCAGCACGCAGTTCCTGGGGGCAGGGAGCAACCTCCCGCCCCCTGCTGCCCAGCTGCACATCTGCTTCTGGTCAAGCATCTACACATGTTCTACTGCACACTTACTAATCATGAGTAAATTTGCTATTTGCATTTGTAGGTAGCAAATTTACTCACGATTGGACCCAGTTACCGCACAGTAAGCATCTGCACATGTAGATATGGACACTTACTGTGCAGTAATTAGCTCTACTGTGCAGTAAAGCATCTCATGTAGACTTGCCCAGTGTGAATGATCCTAACTGTAGCAAACACAGGCAGGGGGTTGGACTTGAAGATCTACAAGGTCCCTTCCGACCCTGCTTCTATGAAACACAGAATTATAAAGTCATCTGATAACAAAAGAGTTGTGTATATCAATTACATTAGTGCAAATAAAGAAGATATTCTTTCTACTAGAATTCAAGTTTGACATATGATGAGTAAGAGTTCAGTCAGAATGGCTCTAGATATGATTGAGTAGTATTAAAATGTGTTCTAAACACATGCTGTCTTTATTTGAGATGAGACCCTCACTACTGTCCACCCAGAACTGTTCAGAATATTACAAAATTGGGAGGGTTTAAAACCACTTTATTTTCCCCTTCCCTTTGCTGCAAGCTGCTTGGTCCCTGGTATCTCATTTGTAATCCTTCTGGTGTTCAGTCAATGCTGGAATTCTGTTTTTATTGGTGGATGTATTCTCACGTGCATAAATATAAAGATTGTTGGAAATACAGAAGTATAAACCTACTACCAAAGAAAAATGCACAAAAGTCATACCTATAAGACTATTAAATAGAGCTGGCCTCCTAGGCATCTGAGGAGAGAGACACACTGAGTCAGGAGCAATAGAACAAGCCAGAAAGTGAGTGCCTTGGTGATAGGGACGTTACTTAATCTGTGATGTGGGGGGCTTGAACACTTCTGGGAAGCAGGGGAGATGGTTTCTAGGACATCCTGTGACTGAGAACCTGGGTCTCCTGCTTCTAGTGTGAGTACTCCAACCACTGGGATATTGGGCAACAACATTGTGGCATTGCTTAATTGTTGTCTACCAATCATTAATTTGTTTGTCATGTACATGCAAAAGTGTCCTGGGAGATCCTATTTTGGTAGTGGGTAAAATAGAATTGTAAACTGTACAAGTGCCAAAAATAGCACTTATATTCTGGGTAACTGCCATTTAAGCACATAAAGTGAAATAGGATATAACTCTAATAGACTTATGAAGTGTATAGCAAAGCAAAGAAAAGAACCAAACCTAGATCTCCCAAGCTACAGCCAGCTCCCAGACTACTGGATCATCCTTCCTCTGTAGCCGCACCTCATATTAGACTAGGGTAGGACCATTTATGAACTATTTGAGCTTGTCTTGTGGGATAGGTACTTGACTGCAAGAAAGGCATTTAGGAATTAACCTCCCCTTTGGATGCAGAGACCAGTGGTCCACAACATGAGGGATGACGCTGACTGCTAATGAGTCCTCTGACAAAGCTCAGACTGTGTGTGTTTGATGGGTCATGGCTTCTTCAATTATTAGTCCCCTTAGGGGGACCATGGAGGTGCACAGAGATGTGGTACATGTATTTGTCTCCATGCTGCATCTTCTGTTCACCTGGTGTTAGAAAAGTCCTCTAGCTGTTATACCCTAGTAATAGCCACTGCCATCCTGATTTTCATCCTGCTTCTGTTCAGGTGACAGTGCATGTTTAGCTGGAGAGAGCACACAATTAGGTAACTTTTTCTTGGCAGGATGTGCTGAAGCTTTCTGTGCAGGGAAGGAGGATAATGAGGTTACTTGTGTAGAGACCAGTGTCAACTCCAGTGCAGCAGTCATCTGTTTTAGTTCAGAAAATTCTCTATTAGCTCTGGCAGATTTTCATAGAGGGAGTGTGGTATTTGTCAAAGGTAGTACAGATCGGGCTACCAACTATGCAGATGACCAGGACATCCCCTCATGGATGATTTCTGGAGCACTCTCCTAATATGGAGTAGAAATACCAGAGAACTTCCTGGCAAACAGGAGGGCTTTGTTGGTGCCTCCTGCCAAAATGCCTCTTATACAGACAATTTCTTGTTGAGTGACCTATTACACCATGTCATTGGCATTACACATCACTTCCTAGATTGTTTTTGGGACATGGCCCAGGGCAGAGTTCCCATGTTCTGGGGGGACAATTAAAAATGTCCCAGTGGTGAAGCAACATGACTTTGCCCATAAGAGAGATGAGTGCACAGATAAAAGCAGTGCTGGCACAGAGTCCTGGTGTTCTGCTCTTAAAGTAAACTAAGATTTATGCTTTGAGAATTTCTCACTGGAGTGTCCCATGCTGGAATATGGGAGTCCCCCCTCAATTCGCTAATTCAGTCTTTCCCTTTGATGTCCAAGTTCTAGGGGAAAAATCTTTAGGCAGATATGACACTATGACAGTGTTTCTATTTCCAGGTGGAGGGTTCAACACATGATGTGATCAACATCTTGCTGCTGTGAAGCAAGCCAGCTGTGTACCTTGTTTCCTGGCTTCAGGTAGAGTAGTGAGTGTGCCAGTCTTTGAGCTACTGGGGCTGTGTAGCATGCTCTCAATGTAAGATAGTTCCAAGAAGGGCATTCCAGTTCCCTTTATGTTGGAGAAGTAGTCAGGCTTTGTGACTCAGCTCAAGCCTGCTTTTGGGGCTGGTTGATTTTGGTGTCTTTAGGAAGGCATATACACTTTCTGACTTGGTTGAAAATCTACTAGAATGAAAAGGCTTCTAATCAGAGCAAATAAAGTGCAATTAAATTCTAGACTAACATATTCTTGATTAAAAAAAAATCTGCCTTCTGTACTGAAGGAAAACATGAGCCAATCTTGTAAGGCCATCGGTCCATTACAGCTACATCACTTGTGGACTCAGACTATTGAAAGTAGCTCTTTAGTTTCAGTGGCTTGCCTGTCTGAACATAAGAAAAGCACTCCTGTTTCTCCAGCTTTTATACATTGGAATCTCTGTTCATGGGAAACCTAGGAACAAAACAGCAGATCAGGATGCAATTACATTGTTACTGATTTTGCATAGTGCTTTTCTATATTCTGCTTGACAGTAGCTATTGTTAGTTCTTAATTTTCATGACAATTGTATTTAAATGCAAATTCAACAAAAGAAATTTGCTAAGACTTGTATAAGATGATGAAATCCAAAAGGAAATGTTTTACTATGATTATCCAGATCTGAAAGCATTCTTTACTATCTTGTACACAGGAGCATACGTTTTGAATTGTGAGTAAAGCTTGCTTCATAGCCCAGACAATCAGCATACTTCTCAACACTGGTAACAAACTTGTAGTAAGAGGAGGAGCCTAGCTCAGAGGTAGTGTGGGTGGGACTAATACATATTAAAGTTTTGGCATGAGAGAAAGAGTTGTCAGAGTTGAAGGTCTATTTCTAAAAGATTAATCCAAAGCTGTGATTTTTAAAATTTAAGATGCTAAGAGTTGATGTTCAGATTTTTATTATAATAATTTTGGGGACCTCTGATTGCCAGATAATTCCCCGGATTGAAGAATGTGGACTTGCCTGCTCTCAGGTAAACTGTATCTGCTATTAATATATGCTACTAAAATATTTGTAAATATCTATATGGTTTGTCTGCCTTAAATAGCATCCTTAAAATTGCTGTAATTTTGAAGTGCAAAAAATTATGTATGAAAATTAAGTATGAAAAGTTGACATCATCCAGGAATAACTCATTAAGAAACTTTAATGTACAGCATTACAATTTTTCCCTTCAGTCTATTATGTATTATGGGGGTAGTGATAAAAAAGTATTTAATACCTTTTAATTATTTTGGTAACACAATTCTTATAACCAGACTAGTTTAATGGGTACTGAATTTTCAAAGGTGGAATTTTCAAATGTGCCTAAATGTTTTATGAGTACAAATCCCATTCATTTGCACAAGAATAAAGAATTAGAGTTGAACTGTTAAATCTCTTCTTTGTTGGGAGAAGTGCAGTGTCACTTCTGTTGGTTTTTAATGAGTTACATTGTGACTAAAAGAGAGCATGTATTCCTTGTAATAGCTTTTCATTTTGTATTGCTTCCCTGTATGCCCACATGGGGGCAGCATAAAGATGTCCTGATTTTATAGATTCCAAAAAATGTAGTACTAAAAATTCTAAAATTAAACACGAAATGATTAGATGATTGAAATTAAAATAGGATGCAATGATAAGGAAATTGTGCTTACCTATACTTGTCATGTTGCCATTAACAATTCCGTTGTTATTGAGAAGATACAGTTTGGTGCCATGAAACCAGCATTGAACTGTGTGAACAGAGGTCCTGACTGAAAGTGTCATGGTGTTGTGAACCATCTAGGGGTGGGACTAAGACATACATTAACAAGCTTCATCAATATGGTTTAATGATAAAGAATGATGAATATTAAATACATCCTAATTTGCCTTGTGTTTTACATAAGACAATATACAAGTGCCAGTAAGATAAAGCACTGTGAGAACCCACTACCATATTTACATTTTTTGTTTGTGATTCTGAATCAAAATTGTATGTGTTCTTTACCTGCTCACATATTATGTTATCACTGCATTTCATTCATGTGAAAAGAGGGTTTTTTCAGAAATAACTGTATATTTTACAACTATAACATGTATTTTTAAAACTTTTACACCTGCGTCCATTTTTGGCTTTCTTTATCCTGACAAACTGGGAATAATAATCACTGCTGGCATGTAAAACAATGATAGTATTATGTCTTTAAAGTATTGCCTCAGAACTTTTTCTAACTAATATTGAAGTCTAGGATGATTTTAAAAATAAATCATATATTTTTGTTTAGATGCATTGAAAATGGTTTACCAGAATAGTGGTATCAGTTTAAAGGTATCTGAAATGGTTAAACAGCATGTTTCAGTACATTTGCTGAAGGTAGTTTTTTCTGCTGGTTTTATTCTGTAGAATTCTGAATTCATTTTTTGCTTTTAAGACAAACATGTTTTCTTACTAAGACAATCACTCCTCTTGGAGTTGGGACAAATTGGCTCAGGTTTTCTCTCATTTGGTCAGCACTGCCAAGATAACATATGCAACCTAGTGCATGGCATTAGAGCTATATGACCAAGGATCTGGGCTTTCCATTTCCCATGGTAAAATGGAGAAAACTGCAGATTTTCCCCTTTACCTAAGGAAAATGTGGATTTTTCATTTAACAGGAAAAACTACAGATTTTGCACTTTTGCAAAGAGCTCTCTGCAGGCTGGCAGAGTTCCAGCCTGCAAGAGGCTGGGTGGGAGCGGGAGGAGGGCGGTCAGGCAGGGGGCACCGTATGCATGTATATGCACACAGCTGCCTGGCAGCCTGAAGAGCAGCTCCAGCAGGTAAGTCTGGGCAGGGGGATTGAGGTCCCACAGGGAGGGAGGAAGTTTGGTAGGGCTGGGGCTGCTGCCTGGCTGGGGGTGCATGGGGCTTGGGACCTGGGGCTGGAATGTAGGGAGCAGGATGGGGCCATGGGCAGCTCATCTGGGAGGTGGGGCTGGCTCCCTGCTGCTGTGTGCACTTCCAGGGGGTAGGGGCAGGGCTCGGTATAGGCTGCCTGTTGTGGCTTGGGCTCCCTGCCCTTCTGCCCTCCCTTGGGGCCTCTGTAGCACGGCGGGTGCAACTCTGTTCAGCAGGGCAGAGCAGGGCCATGCGGGGAAGCTTGTTGCTGCTGCAAACTGCACATTGGCCTGGCAACGCATCCCCTGCACGCCTTGCAGAAGCAGGGGCATTAGTGTGGGGTTGTGTTCCTTGCTGCTGCTGTGTGGGCAGGGGATGCATTGCCAGGGCAGCATGGAGCTTGCATTGGCAAGGACCTTCCCTGCATGGCCCCACTCTACCCTGCAGTGCTGGGTCACACCCACTGGACTGTGGAGGCCCCAAGAGAGGGCAACAGGGCAGGGAGCCTGAGCCTGCAGTGGGCAGCCTGCACCCATCCCTGGCAGCTGGGGGCCCCCTCTGGTAGGGCTGAGGGGTAGGGGGCCCTGGGTGGGGGATAAGGAGCACCATCAGGGCCAGGGTGCTGTGGGGCGGAGTGAGGGGCACCAGCAGGATTGGGGGGACGGGGAGAAGTGAAGGGCACCAGCAGGGCTGGTGGGCTGTGGCTTGGGAGTGAGGGGCCTGGACCTGCAACTGTGAGCTAAGGAGGCAGGGGGAGCTCTGGTTTTCCATGATAAAAAACCCAAAATCAAATACCAAAATTTATAGGTATTTAGAATTTATTTTATTATAGTGATTGAGGCACTGGTAGGCTTCCAAATTGCTTTAAAATTGTAAATGTATCAAGAAAACATTGTGTTCAACTGATACCTATATACAGGTTTTCCTCGATTTATGCTGTACAAGTTCCTGGAGAATGGCGTTTATAAATTGAATTCACATAAGGCAAACCCACTTTACAATGTAACAAATAGGGATAGGTTCCCATGGCGGTGAGGGAG